CCAACACCTCTCCATTCACTATTATCAACATTTCTGAATGCTATGAAGTCAAGCAGTTAAAAAATGAGCCTCTAATTTTATGTATCTATTCATATACTTTTTCTGGAATTCAACTTTTGAGAATCTCAAATGCAATAATTACATATCATGAACAATAGCATTTGAGATAAAGTGTGGCTAGAAATGTCAGTTACAGCATTAATAGAGAGAGCTTATAATAAATATGCATTTGTATTTGATATTCACAAAGTCATCATAGTATCGAACATTCAAAGACAAGCACTTTATATCAAGCACTGAAATTAATAAAGCCATTATGAGTTAAGGAGCAAGTGAGTGGGCAGAAGAGGGAGAAAAAATTCTTACAGTTCTTTAGAAATGCAAATAAGAACATTGCCTGAATATCATTACCTGACTGATAAAATGGTAATCACTTAACAGGTATTTATTTAGAAACCTGTTCCAATTCCTTAATGGGAAAAAAATTTTTCAATTCAGCATAAACCTATTTGTTAAATGGTAATAAAATAAATTTCCAGGTGGGAAATAGCAAGCACTAAATGTCATAATATGGTTCCATAAACCTGGAGATAATTCTTAGCATTGTTTCCAAAATTTAACTGACAAAGTAAAAAGCCCTCAGGGGCCAGAGAGGCAAATTTCATACCCTGATCAACTGGACACTGTGGCTATGGACAGCAACCTGGGTGCTCAGATGCCTTTGTTTCAGACTAGAGAATCTGAGTTACTTTAGTAAATTGTAGAGTACCCAGCTGCCCTCAGACGATCTAAGGACATTTCTAAGACAGGCCAAATGAATATACCTGCCAGGCCACCAATTTGGGAGTATACATCTAAGAGGTCAAATGACAGAGACCTTTCGCAACATAGACCCTGTGTAGCTCGAAGGATGGACTCCAACGTTCCAGGCAAACTCAGTGAAAATACTTGGCTCTGCCTTCCTTAGAAATAGGACTTTGGGCAAAATAGCAAAAACCCTCTCTGCCTCTGTTATTTGGCCTCAAAGACCGTGACCAGTATCACTAAGGAACCCACAGTGCTGCAGAACTGTATGAGTTCATGTAGATTTCCTGTTTGGTGAAGTGTCCATCAGTGGTACCATGACAAAATATAGTTCAGTCCCAAGACAAGCCATCAAAATATTTTAGGGAAAGGATTTTATCAGCAAGGAATTTTCATTGAATATCCAAGGTAGGAAAAGTATCAAATCACTTGTTATTCACTATTATTGCCCAAGTCCATTTTCCCCCAGATTTAGTCATGGTTCAGTAACATTTTAATCTAAATTATATACATTTCAGGATAGAATTTATCTTTGAATAGCTGGAAGATAATTTGACAGAAGCAGTGATTTTGGAAGCTATGACTTCTTTTAGTTTGAGTAATCATTTGTTAGCTGTGTGGGTTTAGTGAAAATTACTTTCTCTGAAACTCTTTTTTTATTGTACTGTGTTTTATGAGACTGCAAGAAGCTACAAGCCCTAGGAAAGGCTCCAAATTACAGAAAGGAGCATGGACAGAATTTCAGATAATTCTCAGCATCAGTCACCTGCTTCTTGATCTCATAACATCCCATTCTTGTAAACAGGGACAGAAAGATCCAGTCTTTCTGGAATCCCGCGACCCTTCGGCGCAGACGATGATGTAACGCTATTAAGTATATAAGACATTCTGACTGGGCTGCAGCCGGAACTCATATAGATCTTGCAAAAAAAAAAAAAAAGTTACAAATTTATCCAATACCTCCATCTTCAGCAAGCTATTTGCATCCACCGATTACCCAGGTCCTGAAAAACTATCTAGAAAAATCTTATTGAAATACGACATTTAAATAAAAATTGGTGGTGATGGTTGGCTGGGATCCAAAATGATCAACCGCAAAGAGGGATGACAAGGTGTCTTAAAGAAAGGAGGAAGACATGCAAAGGTTGACAGACCCAGGATGATGTGTACGACAGGTAGCTCGGAGGACACGTAACCATTTCTACGAAAACTCATCAGAGCCCTCACGAAGAAGGGGACATCTAAGGACTGAAGCTACTGTGATGGTGGTTTCTGAAACGCTTCCATCTCAAGCAAGTTACTTGAGAGCTCACTGTGATCTAGTGCTGCACAGAAGACCGACCCTCCCCCTCCACACGTGGAAGCAGGAGGATTGTCACTACTAAGAAGCTTCTGCTGCACTGGAATAAGGCAAACGATGCTTCAATGGAACGGACAGAGCTGCAGGCTATGCATGTTCAACCTGGCAAGCAGACAAATTTAGGGGCACCTGTAAGTCCCCTTTTGCTAGTCAAATTCCCAAAATTATTGAGAAAGGTGAACTGGACAAAAAACTGAGTTTCCTACAGTCAAGCAGATGGCGTTTGGGAGTCTATGTTACTGTGGTCCCAGGTAAGCTGTGGGGCTTGTGAAGTCCCCGTGCATCAGGATCCATAGCTCAAAGCTTCAGAAGGAGTTAGTTATGTAGTGAGGAAGCTGGAGCTGTCATTCGCCACTCTTTCCATGCACTCAATCATCGAGGGCTACAAGCCTAAAAATCACATTTCACAGATTTTCTGTGTTCTGTGGTTTCTGGCTAGGTTTTCCAAAGAAGAGGCTCAGAATGGCAAACTGGGTGGCAAGGGAGAAAAAAGGAGGATTTTCTTCCTATAGCTGCAGGAGCCTTCAACAATGACACCAGCAGCAAACGGTTCCAGCAGCAGCAGCAGCTGTGGTGACGGCAGCACCTCCAGCAGATCCCAGCACAGGACCCGTGAGGCTTCCTGACCCCTGGCGAACAATCCTCCTCTTCCTACTCTTGCAGGGAGCTTTGCGGCCAGCTCCTGAATTAAACCGCCCTTTGCTTTAAATGGGTACAACCGTTTCCATGTTCTTGACTGGACATTGACAGATAGGGGAGCAGCAACAAATCAGTCAGTGGTATTTTTCTCTGAACAGATTGTCAACCAGATGATCAATTGCCTATCAAGGAGGGTTGACAGTGTTGGATACAGTACAGCAGTACCAGTCAAAAAGACACAGCAAGGGCTGGCACTGTGGCACAGCAGGTTCAACTGTCTCTCGCCATGCTGGCATCCCATACTGGAGTCCAGGCTGCTCAGATTCTGACCCAGTTTCCAGTTTCCTGCTAATGTGCCTGGGAAGGAAGCAGAGGGTGGCCCAAGTACTTGGGGCCCTGCCACCCATGTGGGAAGTGTGGCTCCTAGCTTCAGCTTGGCCCAGAACTGGATGTTGAAGACATATCGGGAGTGAAGCAGTGGATGGAAGATTCTCTCTCTCCCTCTCTCCCTCTCGAATAAGTACATAAATCCTTTAAGCATACATGCACAGCATTTAAACCCTGGATCTTCCAATTACAAAATAGGATTTCTTTCTTCCTGATTATGCCCAAGTTCACAGAAACAGTAAAGGGACAATGGGGTGAATGGGGTATAAAAGATCAGCGATCTCATCCCAACGAAGCCACTCACTAGCCCCAGGAACTGAGGGTCTTCTACCACACTTGGGAACTTCAGTTTCCTCACCAGAGAACGGGCACAACCTATCAACTGCTTAGTAAGATCAGCCAGCAAAACGAATACTGAGGGGCCGGGGCCGTGGCCGTAGCAAGTAAAGCCACTACCTACGGTGCCGGCATCCCATATGGGCACTGGTTCGACCCAGCAGAAGCTCCTGGCTTCAGATTGGTGTAGCTCCAGCTGTTGTGGCCAATTGTGGAGTGAACCAGCAGATAAAAGACCTCTCTCTCTCTGCCTTTCCTTCTCTCTGTGAATAATTCTTTGAAATAAATAAATCTAAAAAAAAAATGGATACTGAATTTAAATCAAGAAACTGAGCAAGTCTAACAACTACATTATCGATTCCAGGTGTTAAAAGTGCCTGCATCTCCTGATTTTTTTTGATGACTCAAGAAAACAGTCTATTCAATGCATTCTATGTGTGAGATAATATACTAAAGCTTTTAACTACATTACTTACAATCCTCATGACAATCCCACTGACAGATGCCAGGACCGAAGTCTAAGAGACTGAAGTGGAAAAAAAATATCAGGACTTGAACTGACATTGTCATGTTTTCGGAGCAGCGCTCCAGCATTCTGTGGCACTGCTAATTGAAGCTGTGTGGCAGCAGCACGTGGAAACTGCCGAGTTCCACAGGCACGTGGAAGATTCCTCGCTCTATTCCACAGCCAGTGAATTTCACCTTCTCCGAGACACCACTGCCTTAGAAGGAGACAGGTCTCATCATCCTTCCGGTGGTTTGCAACGCCTCTCGCTTGAGGTCCCCCATAACTTCCCAAGGCCCAGGGGGCTCCAGCGCAGGCTGAGTTCTAGCACATATGCATTGTGTTCCTGATCTAATCCAAGGACTAACTGAATAATCACCATTTTGTCAGTCAAGTAATAAAGTTGAGTATTCTCATTTACATTTCTAAAGCAGCATAAAAATAACACCGTTTGAAACGGTACCCACTCACTTTCTCCTTATATGCTAATGCGTGTCATAATTTCACAGCCTGTAGAGAGATTTCCTGGCAAACATTTCTCTGCCTTAAAGTTGTACCTGTTCACGATGCTGATTGCCAGCTTGCAAACACAAATTCACTCTGGTTCCAAATCAATTCCATATTTATAGGTCTTTGGGGCAGACAACTTATACACAGTGATACAGAAATCTAAATCATTTCAATCCTTTAACGTTTAGCATTTTGAATTTCAACTTCATCCTTAGACTTTGGCAACAGTATTAATAAGAACTCCCTTATTTTAAAAATCCCATCTGTGTATCTTTGCCAAGATTGGATAAATCAATAAATTCTTATAGTCACCACGATATTCCATGAATCTAATTTCTTGATTTAAAGTAATGAAGTACAGCTTAATGCCATGACAAAATTAAGCTAACTGGGTCACTTAGAGCCAACCATTCACCTTCATTATGGTTTTTAATTAATGTTGTCCTATGTATACTGCAGGTGACTAACTTTACTTCAAGACTATATTTCATGGGGTGAATGTGGTGGTGCAGCACGTTAAGCCACAGTTAGGAACACCCACATCCCATACTCGAGTGCCTGGGTTCAAGTCCCAGCTACTCTGCTTCCGACCTCGCTCCCTGACGAAGTACCTGGAAAGCAGCACGTGGTAACTCAAGTGCTTGAGTCTCTGTCACCCACCTGAGACCTGCATAGAATTCCTAGCTTCGGGCATCTGCCTGGTGCCACCTGGCCATTACAGGAGTGAACTGGGGTAAGAATATTTCTCTTGTGTGTTCTCTCTCCTGAGTTCGTTCTCTCTCTCTCCCTTTCTCTTGTGTGTGTTCTCTCTCCCCCCTCCAGGGTTCTCCCCCCACACCCAAGGTTCTCTCCCCCCCCCTCCAGGGTTCTCTACCCCCTCCCTCCCTCTCCAGGGTTCTCTCCCCTCCCTTCCCCTCCTCTCCAGGGTTCTCTCCCCTCCCCTCCCCTCCCCTCCAGGGTTCTCTCCCCTCCCCTCCCCTCCCCTCCAGGGTTCTCTCCCCTCCCCTCCCCTCCCCTCCAGAGGTGTCTCTCCCCTCCCCTCCCCTCCTCTCCAGGGTCTCTCCCCTCCCCTCCTCTCCCCTCCAGGGTTCTCTCCCCTCCCCTCCTCTCCAGGGTTCTCTCCCCCCCTCTCTCCAGGGTTCTCTGCCCCCCTCCCCCCCTCTCCAGGGTTCCCTCTCCCCCCTCTCTCCAGGGTTCTCTCCCCTCCCCTCCCCTCCTCTCCAGGGTTCTCTCCCCTCCCCTCCCCTCCTCTCCAGGGTTCTCTCCCCTCCCCTCCCCTCCTCTCCAGGGTTCTCTCCCCTCCCCTCCCCTCCTCTCTAGGGTTCTCTCCCCTCCCCTCCTCTCCCCTCCAGGGTTCTCTCCCCTCCCCTCCTCTCCCCTCCAGGGTTCTCTCTCCCCGCTTCCTCCAGGGTTCTCTCTCCCCCCTCTCTCCAGGGTTCTCTACCTTTCAAGTAAGTAGATTTTTTTAATTGTGTATTTTGCATTTTTTCAGCTTCTAGTATTTGTTCAGATTTTTGGTGTGTACACACAAGTTTGCCGTTTTGATCTTCTGTTCAGAAATCTGTAGGCTCTCTAGTCTAAGACATCAAGTTCATCCAAAGGAGGAATAAAGAAAGATTCTGTACCTGGAAACAATGGTTCCTTCTTGCATTCTTTTTTCCCTTCTTCCCATCCTTTCTAAAAATAGCTCACAAAAATGAACAAAATGCAGTTAAAAAAGCCAATGAAAGAAGATGTAGAGACAAAAAGAGTTAGAAATTTTAAAATAAAGGCATTTAGAGCAAGAGCACCTTCCTAAAGATCTACACTTGCTAGTGGTAATTATAAATGTGGCTCTCAGTTTCCTAGAAACCCTAGCAAACACAAGAAAATGCTACTATTTATATGATTCATAATTCCTGTAAGATGCTTTTTTTGTTTGCTAATGAGAAACATTAATAAGAAAGCCAAGAGTAATTTTGTGGAAGAGAAACACGGTCCTAAATGAGGGTGTTTTATTCAAGAAGAAAGAAGCTCCCGAGCGGCAGGGATGCAGGGAGGTGTATGAAGCCCCCTCTCCAGGGGTGCGGCAAGGAGGTGAGACATGGTGGGAAGGAGCTGCAGTTGGACAAGAGCCAAGGGTAAAGCAAACCTTTGCTCCACGCAAAGCCTGGGCCATTATCCTCAGGCACATCCAGTGTACCTTACCCATATTTCCCTCCACCTGTTCTCTCCTGCCCAAACCCTGTGCTTTCTAGAACCGGAAATTGATGGGGAAATGATGGTAAAAAACAGAAAACTTTTTAATTATAATTTAAAAAGCCTTGAGACCTGGGCTACTTCAAAGATCACACCTGAGCTAAGGAAAACCACACATGTTAGGAGAAGAATCTGGTAAACCAAACGTAAAATGTGGGCCACTTCTGAGGTCAGGCAGTAAGTGTTCTGGGGCCCATAAACGGCTTCATGGAATCAGAGATAGCCCTGGGGTTAGGCACCCGTAGACTCAGTGCAAGCCAATGACTTCTACAGAGAGGAGCTGCTGTACAATCATCAGTGACACTCTTTCCATTTTGCTTTCTTCAACCATTCGAGAAGAATGCATCTTCTCCTAAGCTCAGGCAAGGAACAAAGAGACCAAGAAAACACATCAGTTGCGTGTCAGATTGGGAAGCACTGCCTGCTGTCTACTAAACTGTGAGACACCGTTTACCAAAGGACAGGACTCAGCAGGAATTTGCCTCTCCACCGAGAGCCTGGTTCACTGCCAGCTTTTCATCCTGAGGCAACCCAGCCCCCACGGATGGCTCTCTCTGCAACGGAGGCCCTTAAGAGGAAGGTAAGCTTCTCCTCTTTGTAAAATCGAGACTCGGGACTTCTTTCCTTTCAACCTACCTCGCAGTTGGCCAAGAAGTATCTATCTCCTTATCAAGGCTCTGTCACCATTATGCTAAATTCTCTAAAGGTGTGATTGTCTTCTGGCTAGATTGTGAGATCCTTAAGAACAGAAACTTGTCTAACTGCTTCTGGCACATCGTTTAGGTGCTTAACTAACACGTATTGAATGAATGAAAGAAATGAGCAGACGCACTGACCCCTGCATTCTGTGGCTGGCCATTTTCCCACCTTCCTGGAGCTCCAAGACTCCCCAAGTTCTAATTTATTTCCAAACCTGGTCCTCCAGCATGTTACACCTTAATTCTTTGAGTCTTGACTCTGCAGCTGCCTCCAAATTACCTTTGATTACGTTAGCCAGAGTTAGTTTCTGGAGCTTCTAGCCAAGAATGCTGGCAGACATATCACAGTAAGGATCAAGCTGAATTAGCCAGCTCCATGAAATGAAGCCAAATAAAGAACAACAACAAAAATGAAGTGGTCAGTATGGCCTGACAAACCTCTTAAGATGTAAGACATTTTCTTTTGTCCTGAATGTCAATGAGGAACTCGCTGTCCCTTGATGTCTGCGGGGAAATTAACTGCAACCCATCCGTTCTACAGCCTACGGGAGTTTAAAGCCCTCTCTCTGGTTTCTGCAATTTCCCCAAGACCTTTACCATCTCCCGCCAGCCTGTTCTATTTGGACGTCCATTCTTGCACAGGCCTTCTCTCTCCCAAGCCACAGTTTCCAGACAGGTCTGTCAACCACCTAGGCAATTTGCACACACACGCACAAATGCATACATGCCAACACGAAGTATTTACACCTCTTTGTGTATTTGTTGCCACACCTCTAAAGATGAGGATAATAATGTATGAGCCTCATAGGATGGTTTTCAAAACTGAACAAGACAAGACAGGTCAGGTTCTGATACTCACACACCTTCAACATAGTGAATATTCAAGACCCAAATAACAGGCAATCTAGAGATCTTACTAAAGGACTGGGCCCTGGGAGAGGTCAGTATACAAACCATAGTAAACGTATATACACGAGGGTGGGTGTTTAGCCTAGCTGTTAAGATGCTCGTTAAGACACCTTTGTCCCACACTGGGGAGCCTGGATTCCTGATCCCAGCTCCCTGCTCGTGTGCACTGCAGACCCTGGCAGGCAGCAGTGATGACTCAAGCAGCTGACTCTGCCATGCACTTGGGAAACCTGGATTCAGTTCCTGGCTCCTGGCAGCAGGCCCGCAGCCACGGCAAGCATTTGGGGAGTATACCAGTGGATGAGAGCCGTCGCCCTGCCACTGTCTTTCTCTCTCAGAAACACACACATACACTCACACAAATAAAAACCTGAACAAAATTTCAAAGTTAATATATATATACACACACAAATATATGGATGTAGATATACTAGCATATGAAGGATCTTCAAGTTCATAAAAGTTCATGGAAAATGTACACGAGCAAACTATTCAACCTAACTGCTCTCAACGTCCCTTTTAAGGACAATACACCGGATGTTCTGCCCTTTCCCAGGCAGAGCCCAGGCTGTCCTTCTACCCATCTGCCCTCTTCTCTCCCGTTCACTGACGCTCTCGTGTTCAGAGCAGGTGCCGACAGGATTCCTCTCCTGGGTCAGGGAACCAGGCCCTTTGGCTCTGAACTTCCACAAGCACTTTCCTAAGTGAAAACATCCTCTTGCCAAAGTACAATGTCAGGTTCCTGCTCTTCAAAAGCTCACACTGAGTCCATCTATCCAGCCTAGAACTGCGGTCTCTAGACCCTAGTCTTTTGTGTAGTACACTTGTGTTGCTGTCCACATTCATTCGTTAATGAAAATTGTCACCGTACCAATATTTTCCTTTTACAACTAGACTTGTACATGGTAAATCAACTTACTTTGAAAGAAATTTTTATTTGACTACTCTAAGTAACAAAGTAGTGTTACTTATTGTGATAAGATAACCTTAAAGCAAATATTGAATTTTGTGATACAGTCATCGGTGACCACCTAGGCTCATGACGTTTTGCTCACGATACAAACAGCGTAATTTGGGAAATGTGAGCGGGACATGCTTGATTACGGACACTCTGAGGGTGTACCAAAGAGAAAACGAGTGGAAAGTCTGACATTTGCCTGTTACTAATATTGTGGGTAGAGTGGGGGAGTGAGTGAGAATGAACATATGTTGATGGGATCCGGTTAGAAAACTGACAGAGGATGGTCCCGAGACGGGATTCAGGGGCATGATATCATCCTGTATCCCACACTACTGTTCCATAGCACCCAAGAGAATAGCTAATGTTCATTTAATTGAATTGTATCCTACCATTAGGAACTAATGCTACTATAAATAAATGTTTAAAAGCTAGAAATGTTATGTATCATTATATCTGAATTACCCACAAAAAATGCATTTTAACTAACTCATCCAGTTTGATACAGTGTCTGGAATTTAAAACAATTTCATAGTGCATTGCCATTGATATTGCTCACCCTGATCTTTTAATTAACAAAAATTTGTGTTTCTCTGGATTCCACCATGCTTTCTCCGCACAAATAATTTCACAACCTTTTAAAGGAAAATTAAACATATGCTTCTAGATTGAAAGCTTATGTTAAAATTCTAGGTATAGGCACCAAGCCAGTGCATTTGGTGAATAACAAAATCCACAACATGTACTATTAAAAATCTAATTTTTTTGCTAAATATACAGTATCTATATACCCAGGTATACCAAAACATAACCCTTTTTGAAATATATAGACATATAAAACATAAAAGTGACTAGTCATTCTATTAAATATCCACCACGCTCCATGGATGATGCAAGGCCTCATGAGACACCTTCTACCCTCAGTGGGTTCCCTGGGTGGAGTGACAGTACATTATTCCAACTCAAGTCAGGTTACACTTGGATTTCTGTCAAGCTATCTGACAGCTCCCTTCTGTCATCAATTCCTACTACAAAGACAGAGGCACAAGCCCCTGCTCCACACCTGAAACACACTTCTCTGCAGGGCTCGAGTGAAAGCTAACAGCTCCCATGGCTCCACCAGGAACATCCCCTTTCTTCACAGTGTCCTCCAGTTCCTGCTATCTGTGGAAAATCCTCAGAATCAAATGTCAATTCAAGCTATTTAAGTCTAACAACACGATTTTCTGCACACCATTCGGTTGTGCCAATTAAAATGAAGCAAGACTAAGAAAAAACTTCCCTAAGAATCATGCTGTTACCTCACCTCCAAGGTTTGCAGGAACTAAACAAAAACCATTTAGATCTATCTACCTACATCATGCAACCATCAGCTCACACAATCTCATGACCTGGTCAAGAAAAGAAGTCGAACAACTGGAACCTATCATGAAAAGCTTCTTAAATTTATATCTAAATTTAGATGCGTAGGTAGATATTCTTAGATTAGTTTACTCCCCTTAAATACATCTTTCTAGTAACATATCTCCATCTACTTTCAAATGGCATCTCCATAAAGCAGATTTTTTAGTATAGACAGCTGGAAACATTTACAGCCGTATCACATTTATCACATTAGCACAAATGATAAACACTAATAATCAAACAGTACCAGAGTCATGATTATATATGAAACATCAGAGAAAATCCATACCCATTAGCTTTGTGATTCTACAATAACAGACTTTCCAGAAGCTTAATAATATAAATGTTCATAATTTATAGTGTAACATATTCAGAAATGTAACATACCTCACATTAGCATCAAGTTTGTCCATTACAGGAAATAGGCATGGGTGAATTGGATGTCAGTGCCCACAGGATCCTATGGTAGAGCAATAAAAAGAAGTTAGACAGGAAAATAACACAGGAAATTAAGTCTGCATTAAAGGAAAACATGCCCAATGATCATTGCTTTCTATTTATTAAGACTTTGGTTTCATAGAAATATTTAATAAACAGTATTATAACAAAACAAGGGGTGTATTCAAGCATGGTATGGCTGAGTGTTGTAAAATTTCTTTACATTTTACTATCATCCAGCTGTTAAAATATGTGGACATTTCTTTTTGTGCTATGTTAATCTATTTATTGCTGTTTTTTGTTCTTCCCATAAACATAACTTACTTCTATGATCTGTTTTAGGATATTAACTAATGAAAATACATTACTACATTCTTATTAAAATCATATATTGCCTAAATTGAGCATACATTTTGTTTCCTTAGGGAATTTGAGTTTGTTCTAGTTAAACCATTTTGAAGGTGAGTAATCATGGATCCCTTGGAGAATCTATAAAGCTTTGAGAACTTTTTGTCCTCCCCCCAAAAAACAGATATGCATGCATATGTTAGACCCTCAGAGTGAGGATGCTAACACGTCGAGAGGCACACCCCAAAGAACCAGACTCCAGACCAGTTGATGCAAAAGCAAGAGGATTTATTTGGCGTCTGCGCAGACGGGCCTCCTGAACTCGGGAGTCCGGAGAGCGCCCCCAGTACAAAGCCACACGGTTTATATACCCGCA